TCTAATCAATACCGGGGTGGTTAACCACCTCACATCCCATAATCTGCTCTCAGACAAGCAATATGGTTTCCGCTTTGCCAGATCTACAGCCGATGTGCTCACAGCCATCACTGAAACAGTCTACCGAACTCTTCAAAATAACGGGGAAGCCCGAGCCGTGGCACTAGATATCTCCAAAGCATTTGATAGGGTTTGGCATGCCGGCCTTCTTCGCAAGATCCAGGGTTATGGCATTACGGGTCAATTGTTATAACGTAATACAATCATTCCTGTCAAACCGTGAATTGAAGGTCGTTCTCAACGGATTCTCCTCCAGTTCCTATCCCACGAACGCAGGTGTTCCTCAAGGCTCCATCCTGGGCCCCACTCTATTCCTTATCTACATAAATGACCTTCCTGACGCCATAACTTCCCAAGTTGGCATCTACGCGGATGACACCACAATTTATTCCTGCCTCAAAAACAAATCTAGTCTCGCTGACAAAACTAACCTGGCCGTGCGTCTCGAAAAGGACCTCCAATCGATTGTGAACTGGGCAATGAATTGGCTGGTCAACTTTAATGCTTCAAAAAACAAAACTGCTCTCTATTAATCACCACAGAGATCCTTCCCTTCCCTCCATTAGAATGTCTGACGCTCAATCGAGAGCAACTCTCTGCGGCTGCTCGGTCTCACGTTGACTGCTGACCTGAGATGGAACAAATACATTGAGTCAATTGCTTCGTCCACTGCAAGGAAAGTTGGCTCCCTGAGCCGCGCCAGGAAGTTTTTTTCCCCTGAGTCGATCCTCCAGATATACAAATCAACAATTCGCCCTTGCATGGAGTATTGCTGCCATATATGGTCTGGCGCCCCTTCTGTTTGCCTCGGGGTTCTTGATAGGCTCCAGAGGCGGATATGCAATATGGTTGGCCCTGCCCTGGCATCTCGTCTACAGTCACTTTCTCACAGACGCGCCGTCGCCGCCTCCCTCTGTCTGTTCTACAAATACTTTCATGGAAATTGCTCCGAGGAGCTGCATTCGCTGGTTCCCAGACTTCATGAGTTCAAGCGCCCTACGAGGCTGGCATCCCGCTCTCACCCCTTCACTGTCGAAACTCATAAATGTAGCCGTCTCTTCTACTCCAATAGCTTCATGTCTCGCACCTCTCGCCTGTGGAACTCCCTTCCCTATTCCAGTTTCCCTGAGAGCTATAATCTCCAGCTATTCAAATGTAATGTCAATCGACATCTCCAGTTGCCTTGATCTATCCACTACCCTCATCCTTTCTTCTATCACTCCTATCTGATCTTAAAAATTTTCTGTAACCCCTTGCGTCCTAGTGGCTCCCCCGCCTTGCTTGGGGTGAAAATAAAAAAAAAATATATATATATATATAATTTTTTTTTCAAAAAGAGCTAGATCAGGCTATAAATGGCATATATGGCCAGTTTTCATTTTGAAAAAAAAGAGCGAGATCAGGCTATAAATGGCATAAGTGGCCAATTTTTCATTTTATATTAAAAGAGCTAGATCAGGCTATAAATGGGATATGTGTCCAGTTTTCATTTTCTCAAAAAGAGTTAAATCAGGCTATAAATGGCATATATGGCCAGTTTTCATTTTCTTAAAGAGCTAGATCAGGCTATAAATAGCATATATGGCCAATTTTTTTTTTCTTTCCTTCTTTATATATCAGGCTATAAATGGCATATATTCCAGTTTTAATTTTCTCAAAAGAGTTAGATCAGGCTATAAATGGCATATGTGGTTGTTGTGTATGATACACCTAATTTACATAAGTGGAGTACCGACCATATAAATATGGGTTGGTACCGGAAGACGACGGAAGATTAAGAGATCGAATCCAGATATAAAAATGCTCGACTGCGACTTAGTCAACCAATTCTGCAGGAACAGTCTTCCCAAGAATATACCAAAACTACCTGTAAATATTATGAAATTTTTTTCATTGTTTCAATACATTTTGTTACGTACATTTTGTGTATTATTATTATTATTCCATGCTTATTTAAGCTTAAACAGTGGCCAGTTTTCATTTTTCTCAAAAGAGCTAGATCAGGCTATAAATGGCATATGTTGCCAGTTTTTTTTTTTTAAAAAGAGCTAGATCTTTTATAAATATATGGCACTGTTTCCATAAAAAAGGCAAGATATAAATGGCATATATGGCCAGTTTTCATTTTCTTAAAAGAGCTAGATCAGGCTATTAATAGCATATGTGGCCAGTTTTCCCTTTCTTAAAAGAGCTAGATCAGGCTATAAATGGCATATGTGGCCAGTTTCCATTTTCTCAAAAGAGCTAGATCAAGATATAAATGGCATATGTGGCCAGTTTCTATTTTCTCAAAAGAGGTAGATCAGGCTATAAATGGGATATATGGCCAGTTTTCATTTTCTTAAAAGAGCTAGATCAGGCTATAAATAGCATACGTGGCCAGATTTCTTTTTCCTAAAAGAGCTAGATCAGGCTATAAATGGCACATGTGGCCAGTTTTCATTTTCTCAAAAGAGCTAGATCAGGCGATAAATGGCATATGTGGCCAGTTTTCATTTTCTCAAAAGAGCTAGATCAGGCTATAAATGGCATATGTGGCCAGTTTTCTTCTCAAAAGAGCTAGATCAAGATATAAATGGCATATGTGGCCGGTTTCCATTTTCTCAAAAGAGCTAGATCAGGCGATAAATGGCATATGTGGCCAGTTTTCATTTTCTCAAAAGAGCTAGATCAGGCTATAAATGGCATATGTGGCCAGTTTTTTATTTTCTCAAAAGAGCTAGATCAAGGTATAAATTGCATATGTGGCCAGTTTCCATTTTCTCAAAAGAGCTAGATCATGCGATAAATGGCATATGTGGCCAGTTTTCTTTTTCTCAAAAGAGTTAGATCAGGCTATAAATGGCATATGTGGCCAGTTTTCTTCTCAAAAGAGTTAGATCAAGATATAAATGGCATATGTGGCCAGTTTTCATTTTCTCAAAAGAGCTAGATCAGGCTATAAATGACATATGTGGCCAGTTTTCATTTTCTCAAAAGAGCTAGATCAACATATAAATGGCATATGTGGCCAGTTTCCATTTTCTCAAAAGAGCTAGATCAGGCGATAAATGGCATATGTGGCCAGTTTCCATTTTCTCAAAAGAGCTAGATCAGCCGATAAATGGCATATGTGGCCAGTTTTCATTTTCTCAAAAGAGCTAGATCAGGCTATAAATGGCATATGTGGCCAGTTTTCATTTTCTCAAAAGAGCTAGATCAAGATATAAATGGCATATGTGGCCAGTTTTCATTTTCTCAAAAGAGCTAGATCAGGCTATAAATGGCATATGTGGCCAGTTTTCATTTTTTCAAAAGAGATAGATCAGGCTATAAATAGCATATGTGGCCAGTTTTCTTTTTCTTAAAAGAGCTAGATCAGGCTATAAATGGCATATATGTCCAGTTTTCATTTTCTTAAAAGAGCTAGATCAGGCTATAAATGGCATATGTGGCCAGTTTTCATTTTCTCGTAATTGTTTCCGCGTCCTTGTGAGTGAAAAATTATTTTCCATCCCCCTTACAACGAAACGTCGCAATCGTCTCGCTGTTTTATTGCTATTTCCTTAGAAAGTATCCAAACGAACTACTTTCGTTATTTCCATTTGTTCTAAACTTCACAACTAAGAACCGCCTGCCATGAAGCTTGTAGCAAACCAGCCTCATTCCATTCATATTCCATTGATGAAATGTAAGGTCCACTCGAGCAGCTTCTTCCTATGAACCGTTGCATTTTGGAACTGACTCCCAAGAAGATGCTTCTTTAAGTATTAGATGTAAAGAAATTTATGAAATATAAGTAGTAAGGAAATTTATGAAATATGCGATGTAATGGAACTATTGAAAAATGAATAATAAGGAAATTTCTAAAATATGAGATGTAAGGAAAATTATGAAATATAAATAAGGAAATTTATTAAGTATTAGACGTAAAGAAATTTATGAAATATAAGTACTAAGGAAATTTATGAAATATGCGATGTTAACCTGTTCAAGACAAGGACCAATAGTTATTTTCTCCATACATCCCCATAAACTGTACCTCTTACGCTATAACCCTCTACCTCGAGTGGCTTTTGGGCATTGTACAGGGTGGACATCATTGTAAAAAAAAAAATTACGATAACTTCTTGGGAATGATAGCGGTGTCGTTTTCTGTTGCTTTCCTTACAGATTTGAAATCAATTTTCCTTCTCTTAGATTGGTTACCACCCAAGGCTAGAGATCCCGGTTTACCCTACTAATATCGGCTGCCTAAATAAAATCAGATAGAGTACAGAGGTGAAAAGCAGAGGTTTTGTGAAGGTTTACTGTAGCTTGATCTCCATGGAAAAAAAACACCAATTGACAATGGGATGAATATTGAACAAATACGAATAATAATAATAATAATAATAATAGTGTTTGTAAAGGTAACAAGGGCCAAGAATGTGAGAAAATTGCTTCCTATTCATCGTTTCTCTATTTTTGTCCTTCCTTTTGTTGTCACTCGAGAAGCAGACCCGGAATAATTGTACGTTTTTCGATCAGAAAAAAAAAGAAAGAAAAGAAAAGAAAAAAGTGCCACTCAGAAAACGTACCGTCATTATTGTTTGCTTTTAGTTACACAATGAGAGTCAAGTCATTTGTTGATAGGCCACAGGCACCATGTTCCAGAAAAGTGTATTTTTTTTTGTTTTTTTGTCAGCCAGCGAGGGACAAGAAAGGGCTGGGATCATCTTACAGCATTAGGCGCCCTCAGAAGGCTCAAGGCAAATTTCCACCGGGTGGATCATTTACGAGGAGAAACAGACATATGACTTGGGTGTGCTTGTGTTATTCTAATGTAGACAAATAAACAGTACAAATGTGGGTGCGGGGTGTTCACTGATAAAAAAGAGATGAATTTAAAAAGATAAAACTAGTGAAAAAAGGTCCTCACTCGGGTTATGCTTTTGTTTGTTTATTGTAGTATTTGATACAAATATATCTTTTGTACATATTCAAAGATCGTAGGTATGAAAAAATAGATAGATAGACAGACAGACAGATAGATAGATAGATAGATAGATAGATAGATAGATAGATAGATAGATAGATAGTGGGATTTAAAACGGAAATTTGGCATTTTTTTTTTTAATTTCCCTAGTGGCATGTATAATCCGACCTCTTTAATCCGGTATGCTGTGGTCTGATAAATTCCATGGTCTGGTATTTTTCATCCGACGCCATTTATTCATTGAGCGACTCCGGGTGCAGCAGCTTCGGAGGCAGCGCCACACGTTGTTTACAACGTTCCGCAGCAGCAGAGTGATTTCTTATGCATAGCTGCATATTTCATATTTACCATTCTGGAAATATATATATATATATATATATATATATATATATATATATATATATATATTATGCAGTGTTACATTAGAACATGCACATACCCACTACAAAAACCGTACATCTTGTTTCAACGTTAAAAAAACCCGAAAACTTTTTTAATGTTTCATCAGGTGGGGAATCAAGATGCGACTGAAATGTTTTATTTAGAAATGCAGTTATCGAAGCATGCCTTCCACTTCTATCATTGGAATATTTCCCATAAAAGGGTAAAAATAATTTACATGTGGAGAAAGAAAGGATAATAAATAAATATTTACGGCTCTACATAGTATTGAGCTCTGTTTTAAATTAATGTTTTGAACTCTGAAATCTCACTCTTCGTTCTTTTACATTTATATATATACATACGCACACACACACATATATATATATGTGTGTGTGTGTGCGTGTGTGTGTGTGTGTGTGTGTGTGTGTGTGTGTGTGTGGTGCAGTTCAATTTATATTACAATGAATCATTCATGCCAAAAGTAGATTAGTAAAGTTAATAATACAAAATGGCGAAATCCCTTTGCTAACAAAATGGTGCATTAACCTACAAATCACTCGATGAATAATTATGATCCTTGTTTTTAAAGATTTTAAGCTGTATAAGGTCTTTCTTTAATATGCAGAAAAAAAAATAATAATACATTATTACGGATACAAAAAAAAACATATTTCGATTCGCCTTATATTTTTTCGTCTCGGATTCTACCTGAATTTTACCAAAAATAAAATAATTCCCATGCCTGAAGATACCTGAATGCAGAGTCGAAAGTACTTGTGTATTAAAGAAAGACCTCATATATATTAGACTTACTTTTTCAGTCGTTGTATTGCATGACACAAAAAAAAAACCATCTGTCTATATCTCTGAGGTGAGGTATTATAATGACTTGCATTATTTACATTATTCCGACTGTTATCCTCACTTTTACTGCCATATTCACGTGAATATAGGAATGAAAATTAGGATAACAGTCCGAATAATGTAAATAATTCAAGTAGTAAAAACCTTGTTTCGAGGCATTCGTCAGGTAGTCGGAAATCAGAGTGGTCCACAATCTTCTCTTTTTTCGAGCCATTGTACTAAGTCCGAAGTCTCGAAGTTGAGGGTCAGTTTTTTACTTCGGGATGACATGCGAGGTGAATTTGTTTTTGAAGTTACCTTCTTCTAGCCTTTGCCTATTGAGGTAGGACCTACAATATGTTTGAATTCAGGGTTTTACTTCTTTATCCATTGATGGGAGGAGAGAGATAGCAAAGAGTATATATTAGCATGTAATGGAAGGAACTCGACTGGAATTCGAACTTGGCTCTCCGATTCGTCAATACGAGCCGCTATCTATTATTCCACAATGTCTCATAGAAGCATTAATGATTGTTTTGTTTCCTGTTTTAAGCTTTGCTTTATCTTTCATAAAACGGCAATATATATGCGGAATGCTCTGGCAAAGCTTTGTTTGCATACGTTTTTTTAGGGGTAATTTCATTGATTCGGAATTAAATAGACCGTCTTAAGGTCTCAGGACTGGTCGCACTTTGTATTTTGTCAAGTTATGGGTTTTCGAAATTGAATTATTTGACTATTTATTTTTAGATGTTTAGTTGCAGATAGTTGCATTGTCAGCCTCTTTTAGCCAAGAAATTCATTGGTTGGTTGATTTTGTTTAGCGGCATATCAACACCTCTATGGGTTATTTAGTACCGAAATGTAAATATTTTGTACATTATTTTATACTTTCCGGATAAAAAGTATTTTTTTAGATATATTATTTGTAAATCATAAAATGTATTGCTATTAACTTCGCTGCAAAAATATATTGTTTGTAAATTTTTTATAAAAAATGTATTGCTTGTATATTTATACTTTTTTAATGTTGTATTAATTGCCATTTTGCTATTGTTGGTAATTTTACTATAAAATGATGTGTTGATTTTTGTTTGGAGGTTCGCTATTTGCCCATAGTTGGAACCCTAACAGGTACTACCACCCCGAATCAAGACAGATCTGTGAACAACTACAGTTAAGAGGTGCTTCATTCATCGTCAAATCCTTCAATCTCCCGATCAGAGGCATTGCTGCTGGATGTAATTTATCGTCATACCCAGGACAAGGAATCCCGTTGAGTGTTATAATGACTAGACAGGGGAACTCCGACGTGGTCTACTGGTTAACAAGCTTGTCTCGGTAGATCAATTACGACTGAATAGTGAGTTTGATCTTGACTGGGTGCCCCAAACTTTCGGCCATGTACCACATCTAACCTAGGCTTAGAAAATTACCTGGGTCACTTCAAGTCGATGTAATGGTTAACAAGCTTGTCTCGCTAGATCAATTACGACTGAATAGTGAGGTTGATCCTCACTGGGTGTCCTATACTTTCAGCTTGTGCCACACTTAGAAAATCACCATTTGGGCATCTCGACGTGGTGCAATGGTTAGCAACCTTGTCGCGCTAAAACAATTAGTTCCATCCTCACTGGGCGCCCCTTATTTTGGCCTTGTGCCACATCTAAGCTACATTTGGAAAATCATTATAAGAACTAGACAGGTTTAACTTGACACTCTTTTACAAAAAATGGCCTACCCCCACCCCGCCAAATATAAATAACCAGAGACCAGGTAGAATTTTTTTTCTCTGCAACAGTCACGACGTGATCACATTGGAGATGTCATGGAAATCAATCGGCCAACTTCAACAACCTTAAGTAAACCCTATTACCACTCCATTCACGTTGACAAATATTTTTCACGCGCAACTCTACACTTCTGCTATGCGCCGTGTCCCTTCAGGTTATTGGCGGTCATGGGTCTCCACAACCTCCTATCCCCTGTAGATCTTAATAGCTTTAGTCCCCTTGCCAAGCCCTCCACCTTCCATCCTAGTTCTGATATCCATTCATAGAAGCTGATCAGGTAGGTGGCCCGCTGTTTTTATCTATTCCAGTGATTCCCAACCGACTCTAGGCCACACCCTACTTTGGTATTTCTAAAATTCTGTTCCCCCACCCCATAATATTTAATTCTTACATATTCAAAATTTTACTGAAATTCACGTGAAGGAAGAAAACTAAATGCTCACACGCGCTGATTGGCTGACAAAACATGGGCTCTTCCAGCGACATTGCATCACGCCCTTTCCTTTGTTGACACGTGGGGAGACGGGAAATACCCTGTATGCCAATTGCACATGTACGTACATACACTCAAAATATTTTTATGTATGCATACTGTATATGCATCGTATGTATTAACACGTATTAATATTAACATTCTCACGGTAACTCACTGTTAACACTGTTAATAACGCATTCTCGAATTGCCTCCTAATTCTCTTCATAAGCTGGAGGGTGAACATCCTACGCATACCCCACCAAAATATTACCATGCCCCATCGGTGGAGCATACACCTATCGTTGGGAATCATTTTTCTATTTTTTTCTCCTTCGAAATGTTCTGTGAGTGCCAAATTGTAATCTTACAACACCTTCCCAGGTTGTCCAAGACTTCCAACACCGCAGCTGATCGATGAACATCGCTTCGATATCAAAGCTGCCCTATCCCACGTTGTGATTTATGTTTGATCATAATGAGGCCAAAACTGAATCGTCGCAAGTATCTTCGTGTTGGACGGGTCCAAGCAGAGTGAAGACGTACAGGAAAACATAACACTTGAATACATTGAACGAAAAATAAATGTTTTATATCAGTGTTTCGTACAATAATTGGATATATCAAAGTTCACATACAATAATAGTCAGCCCGATTCGCGTCTAAATCGGAAATGATACCATCGTTTTTGACTTGGCAAAGTTTGGTTTGCTGCTATGGCAAAGTTTGGCACAAAGCTGAAGTCGGAGACTTTCGTCGGCAGATAATCACGTCGGCCTCTCTCCTGTCTCTGTTCTCGTCTCCGTCTCTTCTGACTCTCTTTTATTCTTCTGCCTAATTCGCTTCGCCCATTCGTATTTATGGACATTCATCCAAACTGGCGAAGTAAGAGAATTCGATAATTCTGGGGAATTCACTTCTCCCACTCTTTCATATTATTACTTCTCACTAAATCTCCTCAGTGAGCGTGGGTGGCTTATCCACCCGCGCTTGTTATTCCAACTCAACTTTCGTCTAAGGGAATCAACTCCAAATTAGTTGTTTACGAAAAATGAAATTTTCGCTTTACAGCTTGCATTTTCAGCTGCGTAGATCACATGTCAATCATCATTGCCCCCTAAGTCTGGGTTACTTTTCCATTGTTCATACTGCTCGATATTCAATTCAAGTCGTTTATGTGTGAATTAAATCCTTAATTCTTTCCATAGGTTTTTGGTATTAAGCCTTCTCGTGTCAATGTCTCTCAGTATATAGCACTTTCTATTGACAAGAAAACTTTCTTAGGCTTTATTTTACCGCGATAACAAAAAATAGTATCACAAATGTCTTAAGTGATTATTGGGTGATTATTGAGTTATTATAAGGTGATTATTGAGTTATTATAAGGTGATTATGAGGTGATGATTAAGTTATTATAGGCTGATTGTAGAGTGATTATTGAGTTGGGTGATTTGGGGGTGATTATAGGGTATTATGCAGTGATCATTGGGTGATTATTGAATTATTATAGGGTGATTATAGGCTGACTAATGAGTTATTATACGGTGATTCTAGGGTGATATTGAGTTATTATAGGGCGATTATAGGGTGATTACTGAGTTATTACAGGATGGTTATAGAGTTATTATAGGGTGATT